CTCGACAAACTGGTTCAGCACTTTCTGCAGTTGTCTTCATCAGTGCTGCTAATAAGGATTAGCCTTTTATGATGTCTACTCAAGGCAAAGATTAACCAGATGTCTAGATGTCAGTGTGGAGTTTTTATTTACTTTAAAAAGTGCAAATGAGTGAACGTTTGAATAATTAATGTCGTCTTGATGTCTCTTTTTATTCATATTTTACCACACACTGAGGCAAACGCTGATACCTGTAGATATCCTAGAATGAAGAATTAAATGTCTAACTTGGGTTCATATTTAGTATTGTAATAACGAATCACATTAAAGCGGTGGTTCTCCAATCTGTTGCCCCACTACCCCCCAACACACACACACACAAACATCAACACATGCACAGCTATTGCGTCAAAACCCCTGAATTCCTGAAACTAAATCTGGAGACTAATATTCTCACAGAAGAATAAATAGTATAGTGGTAAACGTCCCTACAGCAGTGGTTCCCAACCTTTTTTTGGTGACCTTGGTGGCCCCATTTTGACATCACAAATTCCTGGTGACCCCAGAGACCTTTTTTTTTTTTCCAGTCATGTGATCATTATTTGAACTCGGTTCATATTCATGAAATTAAAAGAATGTGTTTTAATTAAAATTTTAACAAGAATAATAATAATTAGTTGAAAAAATATTTTTACAACACAGTTCCAGGCAACCTGACATGGGGTCACGACCCCAGCGTTGAAAAACACTGTCCTAAAGTGTCTCAGTCTGCTGGGCTGAGATCTTGGATTATCAATAGACTCAAAACACCCCAGAAGGATTCGGTTCTAAACCACTGAATATGACGATGAGCTGCAGCCTAACTTTTTTTTAATATAAAAAACACTTTTTTTTCCTCCAGAGGAGAAATGTGAAGTCTTTATGTGCACCCATCCCCCACATATCGTGCGTCATTCTACCCTCTGAAGGTCAAACACACAGATTAATCCTTCAAATGTTTGTTGAATTTACTGAGATAGTTTGACATCGAACTAAATATATATAGTTACCCTGAAAGAAGGGCTACTTTACCCGTTAGATTTTTTTTTTGTCACAGGACTGACACCTAGTGGTGGCTACAAGTGCCTCAAAGTGAAACAGTATCTGTGAGGTTTTAGTGTGTTGATGAAGAAGCGTGTCTCCTCTTGGCCACTGGCCCCCTCTGCCCTGCTCTGCTGTCGCCGGACGGGGCCGGTCCTCTGTCTGGGACTGTGGCGATTGGAGATTGGAGGCCGAGCCCCGGTGCCTCCCCCTCTCACACACTCTGAACGCAGCATGACTTTCAGTGCTCTCCAAGGGCGGGTGGTACACTTTCATGAAAAACAAACAAATATGGAGGCAGTAGGAGTGCGCGTTCACAGACCCTGTTCATTTGACTGTCTGTGAGTATGGCTGACAATAATGGCATAGCTTAAGGACTTCATTATTTACTGTTCGATAATGTGTGTCGCTTTTGTCCGTGTGTGGGACACGTTTGTGGATTTGGTGTGAGAGACAAATGACTAGTGTCAGCGGTGGTTGTTTATACAGTTTATACAGACAAAAAACAAAAGTTATTTTACGTTTCTTTTTAACTTTAAGGAGAGTTTTCACTGCACTGTGAAGAGATCATTAGGCACTGTGGAGTAACAGTAGTTCACCAGCAGGGGACACTACCAGAACCAATCATTGACTTTTTTTTTTTTGACATAACACCAGCAGTGATGGTCCTCCTTTTCCCCTCTTCTTCTGCTGTCTGGTCACTACAGACCAGTCAGTGTGGTCTGTATCAGAGACCGTGGAGGACTGTGATGGACTGAGGTCCTGATGCAGATTTGGAGGCGTCATGAGTCGGGTGGGTGGGACTGTTCTAAGACTGTACAGCCATTGTTCTGTCTTCTTTGGAGATACACGCACAAATATGAGAGGAGGTGTGTGCAAAAAAAAAAAAGTTAATAAGGACAAAGGACCTTTGTGTGTGTTCCTCTGGTTTGTTTAGCAACTAACCATAACAGATTACACTTTTTAGACAAAGTTAGCTCATAGGGCTGCACCATATTGGAACAAAATGACATTTCAATTTTTTTTAACCCATCGATATATATATTGCGATATGAAAAGAAAACAGAAATTGTCACCAAATGACCTGAATAGCACTTTGTTTTGCTGCACTGTCGCCATCTTGTGGTCAAATAAACCTGCGCTGATGGTTGAACTTTTTGAGCTCTCCATCTAATGCAGTGCTTTTCAATTATTTCACCCCACCAACCTTTTTTTGAATTGAAATACTATTGATAACATCATAACATATATATTTTTATCTGTGCAAACCACTGTATGAGTTGCTGCCACCTAGTGACTGGAGGCTTGCATTACAGCAGTGTTACACTTAGGTCCAGTGTGCCATATTCCATTGGAAGACACTCACGCCTTAAAACATCCCATCTTCTTTTTTGGTTCCTCATCCAACATTTCTTGCTTATATATATATATATATACACATATACATACATATATATATTTTTACATACATATATGTATGTATATGTCTTTTTATGTCTTTTAACTTTAAATCTTTCTTTTTAACTTTATGTGAAACACCCCAGTGTTGAACACATTTAGACGAGCCAGGATTCAAACCGGGAACCCTCAGATTACAAGCCTGATCCATTAACCACTTGTCACTCACCATTTTTTGTTGTTTTTTTGTTTTTTAATCATGCACAACAACCCCAACAAATTAACCTACCAAACCAAAAAAAGAAACGTTAAAAAAAAGAGGAACTGATTCTACCCTGATCCATCTGTGGTTTTGTTTCTGCTTCAGTTTTAAGGAAGGAAGTCCCTGCAGTTTCAAGTAGTATTTTGTGAGCTGATTTGTATCATGTTTTATGTTGTATGGTTGCTTAACCGGCTGCTGGGTTCATGGGGTGTACTATCAGACCATGAGATATATGCGGCACTGAGACTGGGATTATGGCATGTTGAAGGTTCAATACCTAGCGAGACGCTGCAGACCGACTGAAGCCGCGTTAGACTCAGCTGGCTAATTAGTGCGATTACTGCACAGCTGGATTGGCCAGACCTTTTTGCTGGGTTCTATCAAAAGGCTTAGTCACTGGTTGAAGTCTCCATCCCGACAACTTCTGCTTCAGCAGTCTCTCTATTTTAGGACCAGCGGACTGTGTCTGGGGAGAGACGCCATCTAAATTTAAGAGAGTGGGAAAACTGATGCAAGCGCTTTATTAAAAAATGTTCCTCTTTCTGTTGGTGTGTGTGAAGAGTGCGGCTGTATCTGCGGCTCTGTGTCCTGTCAAAAGGAATCAAATAAATCTCTGCTGTTTGACGTTTTAATAGAGGAGGTTTTTAATAGGTTGAGGTTTTGACGTTGTTTCCTTCTGATCAGACATCATCAGACAGCCGCTCCTTCCATCATACTCCACCTGCCTTGGCTCCATCCTTCTGAACTTTTACGTTACTCACCCTCTGCTCTGTCTTTCTTGACCTCTCCTTCCTCCTTTGACCCGTCTACACTCTCTACCTTTTATTGCTTTTCCTGTTTTTTTTTTACCTCCTCAGTCCTGCTGCATTTTCAACTTTCTCTCTCTTCTTTGACATCCACACCCTCTGTATCTCCGTGCACTCATCCCACTGTCTCTCTCTCTCTCTCCATCTATCTCCGTCTCTCTCTCATCTCGGCAGCAGCCCGTCGGACCAGCATGGCTCTTCCAAGCCCCCGCTGAGCTCCTCAGCCATGACATCACGCATCCTGCTGCGGCAGCAGCTGATGCGGGAGCAACTCCAGGAGCAGGAGCGGCGGGAGCAGCAGAGACAGCAGGCCACTCAGTACCCACAAACCCCAGTGACCCAGACCCCCGCCATCAACGTCAGCGTTCCTGTCAGTTTGCCGCCAGCTGCACAGGTGCCAATGGAAGTGCTGAAGGTAAGAAAGAGTCACCGTGGTCTGTGATGGAAATGATGAAAATATGGCATCAGGCGTGATTAGCACGGTTTCTTTTTTTTTTTCTTTTTTTCTTTTTTTTTTTACTTCATACATGAAGTTTCCACATCTAAAATTAGGAGTTGTGTCACAACAGCAGAAGTTGGAGTGCTGCAGGCGAGGACATTTTATTGACTCGCGTGTACGCACGGTCAGGCAATCGAGGTTTTCTGGGATCGTTTGTTAAAAAAAAAAAAAAAAAAAAACAGGAGTGAGTGGAGTGTGTCAAAATGCGTATACGGGGATTATCTTTCCTGAGAGAATTCCTCTTTAATGCACGCTGTGCTTCCAGCCATTTGGTTTTAGCCATCTTTAATCCTATTTTCTCAGCCACATCTCACACAGCCACATCTCGTAGCTCTCAGTCCCTGGCTGTTTGAGGGACAGGAGGCTGTTAGGAATTTTCTGAGGCAGTAGAGACAGTGGTGCAAGAAGGTGCTGTGGTAACTGTGCTCTTCTGGTAAGTTGTTGTTTTTTGTTGTTTTTTTTAATTGCACTTTACAGTAACATTAAGTTTGTTTGAAACAGAAAATGTGTCGTTCACATTTCACTGTGAGTTTCTGCAGTTTAATCTGTTTTTTTTATTTCGACATTTTATACCAATTCTTTGGTACGAAGGTTTTTTTTTAACTTTTCTGAGGTGTCGAGGTGTTTTTACACACTTCAAAAAAAATTGGGGTATTGACATGATTTTGAAGCAGCTTGAAGAGTCTCATGGTGAAATCTTTTGGAATTTTAACTAGTTTAATTATTCAATTTGTGCTTAAGTGACACAAATAAAATACTTTTTTCATTTATGGCCTCAGAGCAGACTTTAATATTTTGTGTGACGATTTTAAAATGTTCAACAATTTTTATTTTATTTTTTGTGAATTTTAGTGTGTCTGGAAAAGATAATAATAATAATAATAAAAATTATTATTATTATTATTATTATTCAGTGACTACTGACTATATTAAGCGTATTTCAACTCCATGGCTGCACAACATTGATAATTGACTTATTTTTCGTAAAATAAACTCTTGAAGAATTTTTACTCCAGGAATTTCTTATGTAATGAACAATAATAAATCCTACTCCAAAGCCTACAACCATGTACATGATGGTATCACATAGGAGGAAGTATCTTGATCTGCTTAATTTTTTCCCACCTCTACTTCATATTTAGAGCAAATTGACAACAACAATAGTCGACCTGTGACTTTAACTCCTCAGATTATTACAGACCTTAAGTTTAACACCTCATAAGGTTTAGGTGCTGAGTTCATTGACTATCTCTGCAGAAGTTGGCTTCATTTTGGTAGTGGCATCCTGGTTCAGATAGTGTGGTGTGACTCTACTGACCTCAGGGCTTTTAAAATAACTTTTTTGTTTTTTATCTTTGGATTATTTTTGTTGTTGTTGCTGAACAAAATCCACATGCAGATTTAATTTAATGGCCGTCGCTCCGTTAACACTTTCACTACTCGGGATGAGTGGTGCACGGCTCAGTGGTAAAGAACACATACAGTATGTCCATTGAAAACTCATGCTGCATAAACATTACTCTCTATAATCGGCTACTCTTTGAGAGGTTTAAAATGCCCCCACCCTGAACCCTGTGTCGCTCTGTGTACAATACATCAGGTTAGCGTAGTTTCTCCGTGCTCTTGGTCAGAGCTTACCGACATTCTTCATTGACTGAGGGCGACCAATGAGAAGGCCGTTCCAGCTTGGCGCTGTTGAGCTGGGTTAACCTGCTCCCTCTGTCTGTGGCTAGATTAGAAAAGTCCACACAAAGCTCAGGGGGTACCAGGCGGAGCTGCTGGACCTCAAAAAGTGCAAACATTAAGCTCAGATGAGTTTATCTAAAGGCTGATTGGGCCCTTAATTAACCAAGTGACCTCTGACCTTCTGGGAAATAAGTAAAGGATCAGTTTAGGGATAAAGACAGAGGCGAGCACAGCTTTACCACACACCGAAGGCTAATTCAGTGAAGAATGCCTGTAATTAGCCCCCAGTGCTTTCATTCCATGGCATATTTAGGAGGAAAAAAAAAAACACGGCTTTGAAATCAATGTTGGAGAACTTCTTAAAATGGTTAAAAAAAAAATTCTCATGGATTTACAGTGCCAAGAACAAAGTAGTGTAGCTTGTGACCGCCATACAAGGACTGTAAACGGAAGAAAATTTCAAATCAAAATTTTATTTTTTTTATTTCAAATCAAAATTTTTTTTTTTTTTATAAAAACCTTTTTGCAACATTTATTACACATCACACCAGGCCGGTTAGTTAACGTCACGACGAGTCATTGGTGGTTTGTTTAGGACAAACCACACGTTGCTCTGATGTAGCTGCTCATGTTAGCATCACAGTCGTTGCGTCCAAGTTCCTCACACAGCTTAACTGTGAGACAAAGTGGACCATTCTTCTGCGCCACGTACCTAATGGGGGCATTCTTCTAAATGTGTCCTGCTAGATACATCATGAAGTGCCCTGAGCAAACAATTCAAACAAAAACAAAACAGTGTTTTGTCATTTTGCTCCCTCCCTGAATTCTTCCCCGGTGTTCCTGACTGGTCGGAGAGTTATGAGGCTCAGGTCCCGGGGCTGTTGACGGCTAACGACAAACAACAGGGCGTCTTGTTTGCCGCTGCTGCAAATGCTTCGTATCGGAGCCAGTGCTTAATGTCAAATTTATAAACGGCGTATTTAGGCAAGGACAACATTCAGTGGGGGGAACTCGTGCCCCGGTGACGTGGTGGTTTTATTGTCCACGTTATATGAAGGTTGTGTGTTCCTCCGTCATTGAATCAAAGCATAAAAAAGCAGCTTTTTTTTTTTTTTTTTTACTGAAAATGTGATACGTTTCATCTCAGGAACAGTTCACCATAACCAGACGACGAGGATGTTCCGGCATTAAGGGAAGTTGTTCCCCTGAACTCAGAGCAGATCATCTGATTATGTGTGATAAATCAGAAAATTCCAGATAACAATGGTAATTAAAAAGTCAAAGAAGTTTCTAGCCGCAACTAATGCCATGTCTATATTTTCCAAATGGGAAAATAAACTGACCATTTCCAAACATCTGATGGTGGCTTTTAAAAGACTCATCCAAAGGTGTTCAGTGGTTAAAGTCGACAAACTGTTAAAATTCTGTTTCCAAATGAAGGACTTGGGAGAAAAAAAGAAATCCCTGATTTCTTATATACTTAATAACATCTATAGATTTATATTGTCTGATTTGAATAATAATAGCAATAAAACATCAGATAATATTGTCTTTTGACCTTTAACCTCACCACTGAGCAGGAATCACGAGATCTGTGGCGAGGGTTAAAAACCGGAGACCAACTGTTGCCTCTGTGTGAAGTGTCGTTTTCCAAAGTTTTATCTCCCAGTGATCCCACCTTTGACTTTTTCTTTTGCACATTGTGTCCTTGCTGACCTTGTGGTTTCTATTCCTAGTGCAGAGCTGAGACAGACACTTGTGTTGGCCTTCCACAGTTGTCCTTTGTGCTGGTCTTTTAATGCTTCCACGTCGCCGACGGTCGAGGCCCGGGGCGTTTTGTTTTTTCCGTGTTTTTGTCGCCTGTCCCTCTCCTGTGAACTTGTTGTTCCATTGATCCCTTAAAGAACTGCGAGGAACTTCCAACTGCACTGATGTTTGAAGTTGAACCTGCAGGTCTGCCGTGGGCGGGGCCATAGTATCCCTGTTAATGGCATGTCGCGCAAACATTTGGGCTTAGATATCGGAACAGACGGGCTAATGGTTTTTTTTTTGTTGTTGGATCTGGAAATTTTCAATAATATCGCATCAATATTGTTCCAGAGTATCTTGTTGTTGTTGGATCTGGAAATTTTGAATAATATCGCATCAATACCGTTCCAGAGTATCAGATCTAGCCGTCTCTAATTTGAACTAATATGTGATCTTTTTGCTTGGTTGGTCATAAATAAATTGAAACTCTCGGCCCTGACCTCATTCAAATGGGCTGAAGAAGACCATGAAGAAGACTCCGAACTAAATATGGATCCATAGACATGTCAGTGTGTGTGTATGAGCGTTGAAGTTTCTGACCAATGGTTGTAAATCATTCGATTGTTTTGCCATCAACCCCAGAGTCGTTTTATGCCCCTCGGCCGGGGCTGTTGCTGTTGCCACATCCGATCTCCGCCGGCGTGGAACGATGACGTTTGTCTCACTTTAATGATGCAAAGTTTCAGATGAACCATTTCTGAAAGTAACCTGGGTCGGATTTGAAAAAGTTCACTTCGCGTCGGTCAGACTGTCGTAAGATGTGGGTCCCAAGAAAGTCAGATTTGAGCCTCTTTAGCCTGCAGTATGAACGCAGCCTCAGAAAAAAAACTTTTTTTTTCGTACCCCAGGGCCGTCCTTTACTGGAAGACTGATTCTTAACATGGGGAGAAATGAACATTTTCCTGGAGCTAACGACAAACTCCACGCTGTTAACACACACTCATAGACGACATTATCAATGGAAGCATTTTACTGTGTTAATTGCAGTATCTTCTTCCACACACTAGGTGTTTGTCGACGTGTCATTGTTGTGCTTTGTCTCCATTCATTAGTTTCAGCTTTTAGCAGCCAGTAATGGCCCGCGGTGGTCTCGGTCATACCTGCAGGTGGTGCTGTATGTAAATGTTCATCACGTGATTATTCCCACAGACACAAAGGAGTCACTTTATTAGTTACACCTAAAGGGTTGAGTTCAGCCCTGGGTAAAGTTAACATATAACACATTGAATGTATCATGTGTTAAACCATTTTTTATTCAAATTGAAAAAAAGAAAAAATTGGTCCCTTCCGACAAATATAGTTGGTGACCCCTGTGATTGGGTGAGATGGAGGCAGATGATTCTCTGTAGGGAGCCCTGGAAAAAATGGAAGAAGAATTTTTTTCTTTTTTTTTTCTTTTGAGGATTGTCCTGTACTTAAACTGTGGTTTGATAAGATAAGGAAAAACAACATATAGCTGCAGCGTAGCTAATGTAAACTACGTATATATGTAAACAAAAAAACATTATCTGCAACACACTCCTTTCTATAAATACACCACCGACATGTGCTGCACATTGGTGCACAATGAGTGACACGTGTTTGATTTTTTTTTTTTTTTTTCAAATGTCAGAATTAAAATGGCAACATTAACAGTGTTGATTACACACACACACAAAAAAACATATTTACTTTGTCGGTTGAGTTGATAAAGCCACATTCCTTTCAGTCTTAACATCATTAATATAGTTACCCTGGATGTTAAATGGCCTTCAGACAGACGGAGCGTGTCTGTTGTCTTTGATTTTTTAAATGTCAACTGGAGACACAGAGCGTGAAGAGCTGCAGACGGACACGGATGAGACAGAACACATTCTGTGTGCTGCGTTTGGAGAAGAGCGAGAAGCCAAGCATCCTCGATGGACGGGCAGCAGTAACTGCCCCCCGGGGCGACTTTGAGTTGAAGAGGTGGCCCTTTTCAACACAAAGGGCCTTACTGTAAGCAGCACATCCTTACATCAAGTGATGCACCATAAAAGGACAAATTCTGATTTTACATGAAACAACACAAAATTTGAAAAGGCTCATTGTCCTCCGCTGAGCTCCCTTGACAAGCGTAACGGACGACTGTTCCTACCTTTAAGAGATCAGCTGAACGTGTCGGCGCTCATGCTCACACACTCGGTCGGTAGCTCCACTAGGAAGGAGGACTCGGGCTCCAGCACATGTTCAGTGAAACCAGTGAAACCCAGGCTGGAGTTTAGTTTTTTTTTTATATTGAAGAACTCAGCTGACGGAAAATGATGTTTGAAATGCTTCAAGGATATCACTGTTATGAGGTATGTTGAAGCGGTTTATATGTTTTAACAGAAAAAGTAAGGATTTTATTTAATAACTATAATATATATTTATTATTATTCTATCTTCAACTGTTTGTTTTTAATTTTTTTTTTTTTTTTTTTAGAAAACATTTATAGACGCTGTATGTAAAAAATTTTTTTTTTTTTTTTTAGAAAAAATGTATAGACGCTGTATGTAAAAAACATTTGTTGATTTATTTTGGATATTTATTTATTTTTGGAATCCATTTATGAGCCAGATTGGATGGTTTAGATGGCCCTGATTCAGCCCGTGGGCCACCAGTTGATTATCACTGATGTACAAGCATGTTTTTAGGCAGCGATCATCACATCACTTTATGAGGTTTTATTTGTTCATCACCAAATATCTTCATTACGATCATTTAAAACGTGCTGTGTCGAGGTTAATGCTGAAAATATTCCACTTTATCAAGGAAAGTACAGAGAAGTTGAACGTTGTTTCTGATTCGCTGGAATTTTATGGACTTTGAATCTAGAGCAGCAGAAATGAAGATGTGGAAAAAATCACAGAATTCTACAAAGAGATAATACTGTTTGCAGACGTGTTTAGACTCAAATTAATTATATAGAAATGGAAAATAAGAAAGACTGTCTAGAAATACATTTAAAATTTTGTGAATAATATTTATATTTTTTTAAAAAAGGTTGTCTAACTCTTGACTCCTCATATATTCAAACTAATATAGCTTTACTTTAGGTTAAAACTCACTTTTTTAAAGTGCTTTTGTAAAGGCATTATTTTTATTTTATATATGAAATTGTGTTAAATTTTTTTTTAAATTTTTTATCATTTATTTAATCTTCTTTTTCCCCTCTCTGCTCTGCCCTCCAGGTCCAGACCCACCTGGAGAACCCCACCAAGTATCACATACAGCGCTCGCAGCAGCAGCAGGTGAAGCAGTATCTGGGGAAGCTTGGCTCTCAGGCGTTGAGCTTGCCCTGCCCCAACCAGTCCTCAGAGCACGGGGGCATGCTGCCAGGGCCGGGCAACAGTGCCCCCAACAGCCCTATGGCCCTACTGACCCTGAACTCTAACTGCGAGAAAGAGGTGAGGGATTTAACCTGGACCAGTGAGGTTGATCATGTGTTGGTGTTTAAGGTGGACTCATCTGGTTTATATGTCTGTGTGTTTCAGATGGATGATGTCATTGATGACATTATTAGTCTGGAGTCTAGTTACAGCGACGACATGCTGGGTCTCATGGACCCCGGACTTCAGATCGCTAACACGGTAGGACAGACAACTAATCGGAGGTTTCTTTGTCACAGGGAAGATCATTTTAAAAGTAAAAATACTCAAAGATTTAGCTATTGACAGCTATTGATTTTATTTCATCATTTTTTTGACCCTATTGTTTCACAGGTACAGTAGACAATTTCTCTCCATAAAACATAGAAAATTGACAGCTATTGATTTTATTTCATCAATTTTTTTACGGTGACACTGTTGTTTCACAGGTACAGTAGATGTTTTCTCTCCATAAAACATAGAACTTAATTTCTTCTTATTAAAAAATCCTTATGCTATCCTAATGGCCATCAACTGGTGGCAGGCGGGCCACATACAGGCCGCCGCACCATCAAGTCCGGCCCGTGACTGGATTCCAAAATAAATATCAAATGATAATATTAGACAAAAAATTTGATTTTTTTTTTTAGTTCATTTTTATTGAGTATCCAGAATAACACAAATCCTGTTACAGTTACAGTTGTTGACACCTGGTTTATATCCTTAATCCTTTTATGAGGGTTTATCTCAGGTGGTCAAACTTCTCTTTAAAATACTACTCTGTAGGTAACTCTTACACACACGTACGTAAGTTGTCTTTATATTTGTTAAAGTTTAACGACAAACACATTTGCCCCGCTGTTGTGGTCACCACCCTTCCCATCATCCCTGTCCTGTGACGCTAATTAACATGTGCACAGCAGGAAACCAGTGAAGGTGTGATCCCTGGGTAATGTCTCTCCTTGCCCCCCCCCCTCAGATCCCAGTGCCTGCTAACCTCATGGACATGTATGCTAATCAGGGAATGACCCAGCAAGGTCTCCCCGTCAGCAACTCCTGCCCTGCCAACCTGCCAAACATCAAAAGGGAATACTCCGGTGAGTAAAAGATAAAACATCACGTGTTAATGATCGGTGTGACGTTGACCAATTTCTCCTCCTTCTTCTCATGGAATTCTGAATGGAATTAGTAATAATAATAATTTAAAAAAGAAACGACTCTCCAGGCCTTTGTGCAGTTCAAGTGTGACAGATGTAATTCTAGTGTAAAAAAAAAAAAAAACCCTCTCATATATCATCTTTAAAAGTGCAAAATAATCTATTTCATAGTTTCACAATCGCCGGCCGTCATGCATATGCTGGATAAGTCTGGATCCTGTGGCAAATATGACAACTATCAAAGGCCTGAAGGGTTTCCTGTGGGTACGTCTGGTTCATTTGCTTCAGAATAAAAAAAAACAAACATTCAAATCAGCTGCGGTGAAAAGTCTGCACTGGAAACGCTCTGCTTTCTGTCACTGCTTCATCAATGTGTGTTTTCCCAGAAGCTGAGGTAAGAGCGCTGGCCAAGGAGAGGCAGAAAAAAGACAACCACAATCTGAGTGAGTATTAGTTTCTGCACATTTTCACCAGTTTTTTTATCTGTCAGTGTCTTTTTTATTCTGTCCTGATGTGGAATTGATTTCCTTTGTTTCTGTTCGACAGTTGAGAGAAGAAGACGGTTCAACATCAACGATAGAATAAAGGAATTGGGGACTTTAATTCCAAAATCGAATGACCCGTAAGTTACTCACGTCAGTCATTGTAATTTCTAAATCATTTTCATCATTGCTTTGGAATCATTAGCAGGATTCATTCTCCCGAAGGCCCGGGAGAGAAACACTGTCAAGCCGTCTGAGCTGAAGTATATTTATATATGTTTGGTTAAGATCTCTCTGCAGTTACAGTTTATAGGAGGGAATATGGCAAACTTATTTTTCTTGTGAAAGAATGTATAACATAGCTGGGTAGAGCTAGAATAATACAGTACATCTTTTTATATATATATTTTTTAATATTAAAATAAAAAAATAATCAAATATTTTCTTCCTACTACTATTGTATTTTCCAGACTACTAGTCGCTCCGGAGTATAAGTCGCACCAGTCAAATGATGAAAAGAAATGCAACTTACAGGAGTCTCAGATACTAGTACACAAGCCTAGAGTGCCCCCTAGTGGCTGTCAGTGTGAAAATAACAAACGTGATATATATTGTAGTATAGAATAGAAAAAAAGTGCGACTTATAGTTCAGAAAATACACTGTAAGATATTTATTCCATTTTTATTTATATTTAAAAAACTGTCCAGTTTTTTATGTGTGATCTGCTTCATTGTTTCCTGCGGGGTCTTTGAAACCTTATTTGGTATCATATCATGTGAAAGCCCTCTGGTGTGATGATAAAGAATCCCTGTGTCACTGACACAGAGATAAACAAGAAGAAATTCATGTTTTATAGAAGTTTGTCTGAAAATCCAAATAATCCTATGTTGTTTTTGGTGGTGTTGATTTTCTTTTTTTTCAGGTATGCACAGGCAGGGGGCACTGGAAATAACCCACAGGGAGGAGATAAAGATGAAAAGTTAAATTGGATTTCATACGTTTTTCTTAGTCATTTTTTCATAGTCCTGTCCGTCAGTGGATGGTTTCAGACAAACGTTGCTCGTCCGGTCTTTGTTTCTGTAGCTTTAACTTAATAAAGATTCTCTGTTGCCCCCTATGGTCAAGTAAATGAAGGGAAGGTAAAAAAAAAGCTGCCACCAGCTACAATTAAAAATCGCAGTAAAGTTCATTTATTGTTTCCTCAGTGTCATCAGGGTCGTCCTTATGACTGTTTTCAACCTTGCTGACCTCATCCAATCTGCTCAATGCAGCAGTCAGCTGTGCAACTGATAATGAACACGGAAATTTGTGACTTAGTATCTCTCCACTAACAAGACAGTCCAGTACCATTTATTTGTATTCTACTTTTGGCCTTTATTTTTATAGAATAAAAAATAAGTTTTATATATACAGTATGTGCATATATAATGTACATTCATATAGCTATACATATGTGTATATTTATATATATATATATTTATATATACATAGACGTTTTTATATATGTTATAAAATATTACAGTTTAGTAAATGAAGTGGGAGATAATAAAATAACATGTGGGAGAAAATGGCTAAAAGTGTATTTTAAAGTAAAAAAAAATGCTTTGAAAAGTATTCGCAATTAGAGAATCCACACAAGGTATTTGACCCCTACAGAAAATGCAACATTAAATTCTCAGTAGAACAAAGTCGTAAAATATTTTTCAGTCCTTTGAACATAACAACAGCCAAGTTAAAGTGTCAGACACTGCCCCCTGGGAGACCAGAATCACGATGGCACCTGAAAGGGTTGTTAATATGGTTAAGGGAATGTCTGACAATAGAAATGTGTGATCCCAGAGGGGTGAGTGAAACGATGATCCCTGACTTCTCTGGTTTTTGTTTTTCAGGGACATGCGCTGGAATAAAGGCACCATCCTGAAGGCCTCGGTGGACTACATCAGGAAGCTGCAGCGGGAGCAGCAACGGGCAAAAGAGCTGGAGCACGCCAACCGACACCTGATGTTGAGGATACAGGTACACAGACCTTAGTGAAGTTTTACTCGTGAGGGTAACAGGCTGAAATGTATTATTTATGGTCATTCTTATTTGATAGTACACGACACTGTGTTTCCACTGTTAAATTCACAACTCTGTGTTGGTCAATTTGGATACATTTAACTGAAAGAGTGAACTCACTTCTCTGTTGAAAAATGTTTTGAGTTTTGAGAAATATGCAAAAAAATTAAAAATTATTTGTTTAAAAAATAAGATGTAGAGGCCGGACTGGTAGGACCTGGTCCCCCGGGTCAGGTTGGGCTGCATACTAATGCTAATTACTATGTGGTATTCTGGTCTGGTGATTCCAGATGAAGGGAAAAGTAGAAAGTGATTCTTCAGAGAGTCATTATTTCTTGGGAATTTCAAGCAGTCGCATCTTTTAATGTTTTAAATATTATGTTTGTAAACTCTATGGTATCAGACTCCTGGAAACTAAAGTAGAGAAGTGGCGCCGACCAAATTATACTTCGTATTTATCACTACGATCAGCTCAGCAGACGTTGATCGATAGATAAATCTGTTAGTGTGTTATGCAGTAACGACATTAGCGTAGCATGTCGCTAAATCATGACTTGATTGTTTACAGTCCAGTGAACCAACAAACAAACTCGTTGTCATGCTCATCTCAGGGGAAGCACCGAGAACCTTTGTGTACCAAAACGGGGGGATTTACCGACAATTCCGTTACCATGGTTACTCAGTATTTGTTTTTCCCAGCATGCTCTGACCTCTCACGTCTCTCCTGCAGGAGTTGGAGATGCAGGCCCGTGCTCATGGGCTGGCCATCTCGTCTTCCGCGCTCTGCTCCTCTGATCTGGGGCCCCGGTCCATCAAACAGGAGCCCACGCTGGACGACTGTCACCAAGACCTGTACTCCTACCACCTGCATCACCAACACCACCCAGACTGCACTCCGGAGCCGCCCGGCGCCTTGGAGCCAAACGAGGGCCACTCCAACTACCCAGAGAGCCACTACAGCAGCGCGCACAACAAAGCCGGCTCCAAACTCAACGACATCCTCATGGAGGACACTATATCACCGGTGAGGGGCGGGGATCCTCTGCTGTCGTCCGTCTCCCCAGACACGTCTAAGGGCAGCAGCCGTAAGAGCAGCGTAAGCATGGATGAAAATGAGCAGGGTTGTTAGCACCCCCTTGCTGACAGACAGCTCATCTGCACCTCCGACCCTCCTTCCTGCTGCACTCAGTCCCGTCAGCAGCTCAGTCACTCAGCTGCTGGAGAAAACGTCTTTTATTAGTGTCAACTCTTGGATGTGTTTTTAATTTTTTTATTTTTTTAATCCCCCGCCGAGTTTACATGACGTGAGTCTTCTCGTGGCTATTTTTTTTTTAATGAGATTTGTGCCATTTCATTTCCTCAATGTTGATTTAGAACGTTAATTTAAAAGAAAAAAAAAAGAAAAAGTCTTGCTTTAATCAATACTTGATGACAATGAAGTTTTTATATTTAAAATATATGCATTTATCTTTGGAAAGAGGAGAGTTGTGGGTAAATATCTCAGCTACCAATCACGCTCATGGACGTTTAGAAGTGGTGAGACGGACACTGCTTTTTAAATCACTGGATAGAAGAAAATACACTTATTTATTACTCTAGCGCTATACACTCCTAGTGTCTTAGATCGCACCTGAATGTGCCAATGCCTTATTAAGATGTTGTATTGCTATGCACGTTATGGACGTTAGCTGAGTCTCTGTCACTCTTCCAGTTGAAGTTTCTTTCTCGATAGATAGAAATGATTTGTCTTTTTTTTTGTCTTATTTATGTACTGCTGTAAAACTAAGGTCATCTCTCTGTACACATTCCCCCCAGTGAAAATATACAATTATATGAACAATCTAATCAACGACAAGGCTTTAAAAAGAGCAGCAGATTCTAAAGAAAAGCACAAACATGTGAATCACTCTTAAACCAAAAAAAAAAAAAAAAATCTCCATCCTGTAAATGTAAATAAACAACTGCCAATTTTAGACTTTTATACGACGTTCTAATGTCGAAATGATGCACAACTCTTCAGACGAAAGGATCGGGTTTCATCTTTTTCATACCCAGTGCTGATTGACCTTTAAGTCTGTGCACAGCAGAATCAACTCTGTCATTTCGACTGTCATCCAGTTAAATTTAGCACTTGGAAAGAGTCTATTTTGGTCCGTGTTACGTTGAGTAAAAGTACTCTTCTGGAATTGTTAAGCACCGTGACAGACAGACAGAGCTGCAGCCACAGTAGTCATGTTGAAACACAGAGCTGAGGTCTGATGGAATTACCTGACAGTAAACCATAGATAATATATTTTCCTCTAAACATTTTCATGTGTAGCAGTAAGTATATGGAGCTTTCGTCAGTGATTCTGCCCTCTGTCTGTATTTTCATGATTTGTTTCTCTATCTTAACGGACAGGAAGGCTTCTGGATGAAATATTTAGTGTAATATTTACCAGTGGATGGGTGAAGCAAGACATTTAGTGGGAGAATTAGCTCGTCGTGGTTTGGGCAACTTGAACATTATACACTATCTGTGTACATTATACACAGAAGCAGTGGGCTTTACTTTTTACTGCGTCCAAAGAGTGGTCCTGCCATGGCTAGGATTCAAACCGGCAATCCTCAGATTATAAGCCCAACCCATAACCACTAGGCCAAGGGTCTGTAACTGTCAACGTCAAAATATATATATATATTTTTTTCATTTTTATTGTTTTATAACCTCATAAAATTCACCAAGAACCAAAAAATAGTTTTATAAAAGTACAGATCTCCACTTGAGGAGGACAGTGACACTATGTTGTTTTGCTTTTAATTGACAGCCTTAAGTTCCACAGCATCAAACAGCAGAAAGCACCGCTGTCTACTGACAACCCCGGCTGATTGGCTGTACGAGCCCTGAATGTTTTTGGTTGGGGGGAAAAGAGCCACAGGTTCCAGACCCTTAATGCCTAAACTGGCATCAAAATATCAAAACATGTTTGTTTGGTTTTTTTTTTTTGTGCTCCTTAATTTTCACCTGTCAGCAGGCAGCCACTGCTTACTGTCCACAGCCAGTATACCACTTCAGTGGTTTGTCTGCAGTGATGACACCATAGCGCACTATGTGCTGTTATGAATGAGAAGTCCGGGTTCAAATCTGTGAACAATCACTAATTCGCACTATGTGCTGTTATGAATGAGAAGGTTCAAATCTGTGAACAATCACTAATCTAAAGTTAATATACAAACAGTAATGTTTTACCAGCGCACTTCACTCATCAGACAGTGCTTACTAAACAAAGGTTTATAGCACCCCCTACAGGGGAAGGCGGGAGGGAGCTACTTGCGCTCTGCAAAATACCAACATTTGGCAGTGTGCAATACAATCTAAAACATTACTATGATTTTATTTCTCAAAACAAAAATTCACTTTAGTGACAAAGTATCAGAAAGACACGACAAAGGTACAAGACAAAATCATGGCGTTTGCTCTCGCCATTTGTGAAACGGGCCTCACAATACTACCCTGGCACATACTCTTTGACAAACTACCTTCAAGGTCCTGACTGAGCCAGTGTGGAACTGCTTTTGTTATTTTTAACTCTGAGAAGTGAACAGTCATAAGTACATTCCCTGCCGCCAGAATCGACTGATACTAGAGCTACAACACTAACAAAGACAACAAAAGTACTCAAACCCAGTACAGTCTTAGGTCAAATCACAAATGAGAAACAATGAGAACAAAGTTTAGCCTCAGATTTCTCAACGCACCACAGCCCTGCCTAGGCAAGGATTCAAACCAGCAACCCTCGGATCCTTTAACAGCCAGGCCACGGCCTGTCTGTTTTGATTGGCACCTGCAGTTTATAGACGTGTGAAGGATTTCGGGGCGGGTGACTGATCAGTCTCTCTTGTACATTTGTCTATAATTAGACTAATTAGTAGAGCTGCTACTATATCTGCACACAGTGAATGGTCAACCTGTCAATTTCAATAAATGTTCAAGTATTTCCTATATATTTTACATGACTACATTTCATTATGTAACTCTTTTGTTATTGTCGGAGGTGGAGAATAAGGACACTGCTTTGGGATTTAGCGTGGTATTGTCAAAAACACTGGACTGACCTCGTTTTGTTTTTATTTTATTAGGCAAACATACATTTACTGTTGTATTTGGCTGTTTAAACTCACTGGATATTGTTATTGAGACTGTGGATTCTTCGTGGCCCTTGTGTATAATAAATATATAGACGGTCGTAGCATATTAGCAGCATTAGCATCGTTAGCCCACGTGAACGTGCCTGCTGCGATGTCACAGCACAGCCTCCATGTTGTTAAACTATGCAATTGTTGAAGCCGTGTCCGTAGAGCAGCAGCATGTCATGACAATGTGATCTCTTGAGAAAAAAGTGTAAAATTAAAGTGAATAGTTAATTTTTTTTATTGTGATTTAAGTGCCTTACAGTCATTTCTGTAACCCTAAATATGAAGATGTGATGCAATATTTGGTTTGAAGTAGTTCATTGTAGAACAGCCTATAGTTTCTTCAAAGAGCACAATGACCTCAGTGTTCAGCAGAAAACACAATTATAAGAGTTACATTACGAAATGGAATGGAATGGAATCCTAAAAATGGCCCTGAAAATCCTGACATTGATCATTTCATTATTTTTAAAAAATTGATTGCAGTTTTTTTTAACTTTTACAACTTTCCATGCCTTTATTCTAATGTTCTGTTGAGCTGATATGTATTAGAAAAAAAGTTAAATTTTGTTAAAAAAAAACAACAAAAAACCAAAACACATTGCTAAAGAGGGCCACACAGTAGCACAGTGGCTATTACTGTTGCCTTACTGCAATAAGTTCACCGGCTCAAGCCTTAGCCCTATAATCCTTTCTAATGTTAATGAAAATGTTAATAATTCATTTTTAAATCACTGTTTTATTGCCAGATTTCAAATGGTGCTACACACAGTTAAATACATGGAAAATGACTCACGGCATAAGCCCCACCTCTCTGCTCCAATGCTTCAATGACAAATGTAGCATCAAATGCTAAAAATGCTGTTCAGAAATATGTGATAAACATTATATTTTATTTGGATTTCATGTTAAATCCACTTTTTTAAATTAGCAAAACACTGTAGTTTAAACTTCAAATTAGTTTTCAAATAATTTGGACAAACGTTGTGTTATACTTTATATATTTTTATTTTTACCTATCAATGCTTTTTATTTATACGAGAAGACTTTGAACCTCCAGATGCTTTGATTGTACTTATGAAGAAATCTCCAAACCAACATTCTTTTTGTAATTTGTTTTTTTTTGCTAAATCTCACATTAGCAGCTCTTAGAAGCTATTGCCTGGCCACGTCATGTTCACATTGATTTTCTGTTGTTTAATTGCAGATTAATGTAATTTTCAACATCAACATGAACAGTTATTAAACTACATAAAGATGAACGGTAGTAACAATTAAAACTCTTCATACAATGGATAATGTCTTGGTTGGTTGAATTACAGATAATTCATGTAAAATCCTGGAATATGACTGAAGACCACATATTGGCACAACTCGCAAACCATAACTTTGACTGATATCCCACTGTTTAATACATTTCTTTTTGTCTTCCAATTAATTGCAAACCACAATAGAAGCTATATATTTTCACAGCTCAGTTAATTTCCTTCATCCCTGCTGTTTCTCTGCTGCTGATGGTGTTAATGATGATGCTTCTGCTACTGTTGTTGAGATGAATGTAACAAATATGTGTGTGCGATGCTTTCACATTAGTGGACGTCACATGGAACCGATGTTGTGAGAAATATTAAATGTTTCATTTGAAAAGTTTCCTTTCCCTGTGTTTGGTTCCTTTCTTCTTTGTTACTCCACGTCTGTCAATTAAGACACACATATACAGCCAATATATGACCATGTAATAAAATGCTAACTCATAGCATTCAGGTAAGTGTACACAGATATGACAGACGTTTTCATTGTTTGACTATAAAGACACATCTCATTTTATTGTTTTTAGCTGTAGGCCATTAAAATAATTAACCAAAACTTTAATGTGCACGCCCTCATGTGACCATATAAAACAATCTAAATTTAAATATTAATGATTATGCTTTTATTTAATATTCAATTTGAGCAGGCTCAATAGCCAAAATCGCTCATTTTGACTTCCTGTTTTTCTCTAGAGCGGAAATGCTCGGAGCGGAAGTGCCGAGTCGTTGAGTAGTTTAGACTGCCTTTTCTCTTAAACACTGTCGCCAATACACTGTTTGCACGTTTATCTTACACCGTGACCTTCCATACAGAATATCTTCAACAGATTAGTTGAAATGTTTTTTTTTCAAGCTGATTTTACTTAAATCGCGACGAAAAGGTGATCAGCAAGAAAAACAGTACCATGCTGCACCGAAGGGGGCAGACGTGGATCAACAGGTGCTTGTTGCTGCTCTGTGTCCACTCAGACTTGAGGCGTCAAATAATTAGCGAGATTAAATCAGGTGTGCGATGACGTCTGTTTGTTTAAGTCGTATGTTTCAAACAACTACACCCGAAAAATAATTATGACCATAACATCGATCCATAATTAATGATAACAATGCCCATTCGAGCGAAAAGACGTCTTAAACAAAACGAAAACAGGATGGAACTTGACAGATTCGAGTGAAGGCTTCATAAACAAAACGAAAACAGGATGGAACTTTCAAGAAAATGACAGATTCGAGTGAAGGCTTCGCTTATGGAGTAAGGTAAAACAGCAAACGGTTTTTAAGTTGTTTTTTAACAGATTCAGGCCGAAAAAAAGTATTTTAGTACTAAATCACACAATCTGTGGCTTTTGTTTTTTATATTTCTGTAAAAGGTCGCAGTTTAAACTGACTTTTTTTAACAGATTCAGGCCGAAAAAAAATACTGTAGTACTAAATCACACAATCTGTGGTTTTTGTTTTTGTATGCTCTGGTAAAAGGTCGCTGTTTAAACTGACAAAAGGTCGCGTTTTAAACCCTTTAAATACAACGAATTACAATAATGTCCAAACTGAGATTTTTGTTTTCACTCAAAGCTTTAATTTGTTTTGAATTAATACAATGATTCACGTGGACTATTGTTCTAAATTGTAAATTAAAGCAAGTTTAGAACACAGGAGTTGTGTATATACCTTAACACAAGTGTGTGCAAAGAATTATAAAAAGTGACCGTTTGTGCCATTTTTCAAATTTGCTGTAGTGTTTTATTAACAGGTTTTAAACAGTTTTGTGAGACACATGGTACAGTATATTTGCACATGCAGTGTTTTTTTTTTTAAACTGATGATGATGCCATATGTGCAGGCTTGTGGTGAGCAGCTCAGCGGTAGCACACCTCCGAGATCTCCATTGCCAACTCCACCAGTTCTGAGGGGTCCTGGCAAGAGTTGAATAAATTACACTCCAGCTCCAGTTGATGACCACAGCAGTCAAGACCCTGCTCGTCCATTACCCCGGATGCAATGATGTATTTGTAGGAAGGAAAACACCGTCGCACCGCCCTCACACACGTACCAGGCAGCAGGGCCATGAACTCGTGGAATCGACAATACAGACAGGTAAGCAGGAGAGCAGCACAATCCTCTAAAACAAAAACATATGAGGTCAGTAAGAAAGTTAACAGCTCAATGGTAAAAACTAACCCTACAATATCTGCTACAGAGGTTTTCAACTGTGTATGCGACCCCCATGGGGGTCTTGCGAACTTTTTGACAACATGGTTATCATTTATCGTCTGTAAATACAGTAGTACCTCCAGATCCAGGCAGGTAGGAATCGTCTGAGGAATAATTACTGCTGCTGCTCTTAAATTTGTCAGAACATGTGGAGAGACTTGAGTCAGGCCTTTCCCTGGCCCCCTGAGGCTCATGGGATTTGCAGTCTATGTTCAGCGTGTCTGGTTCTGAGTTGGTGCTGCTCTGGCTCTGGCCCAGGCTGGATCCACCTGTCGCCACTTTAGTGCTGTTTCCTTTGACAGTGATTTAATAAAAAAAAAGCAAGGTTCTCCGTCAACCTTGTTTAAAGTAAGAGCATCATCAAAAGCACTTTTTTTTAGTCTTTTAAAAACATTAAGCATGTTTTTGGAGGACATGTAAGCGTAATTGTAAGTGACACTTTTTTTGTATCTAGTCCATATATTTAATATGTGACAGCCCAGAACCTGAAGTTTTTATATGGAGAGAATATCTGGAAGATGAACTGTGGTTTTGTATCCAATTTAAGATTTTAAATGCACATCACTACTTTATTCTACCACTGAAATAATTCTTGTAATATAATATTTTTAAAAGTCTTTAAAACTGAGATTGACTATAAAGAACTTCTAGTTTAATGAGAAAATGGACTTGAGAAGTTATAAAAAAATTACCCTAGTAACGTACCGTTAGAGTCATCGTCCCTTTGTCTCTGGAGCTGAAAACAATCCTGATCATTCCGTGACGGCTGCGAAGGAGTCATCATCTTGTAAAGTGGAGAAAAAAATAAATAAATGCGATGAGGACTACTGTGGAGAATCAACCATTAACAATGAACTCCAGGAATTCAGATAAAACTAAATTGATTAAAGATCCGTCTGCACTGGTTAACAATCAAACAATGCAAAGCCTCTGCTACGGTAATCCCTTAGTGGTCGAGCTCAAGCACATCCCATTACCATGCGCACACCCACACTTTGAGCACACTTCACACAGATCGATATCTGCCAGTCACGACGCAAAACTACGACTCTGCCGTGCCCAGAATTTCCACTCAATTAAGAGATTAAAGTGATAGAAACAATAAACCAAGCCGCTCGTCTAACAACTGAAATTTTGGCAGGTCTGGTCCTGACGGACATTAACAGCCTGTAATAATCTCACCGCAGTCCTTAATAATTACCTTAGTCACCGCCAAGGTCCTGCAAACCACAGCCTCCTGCTGCTGAGCTGAGGTGAATTTATAGAATGTTAAAATACCACAGTGGAAAGTTCGCCACCCAGGCCATTTGCTTTCTTCCATTACCTTCCATTAAAAAGTCATTACTGTTGACTGAGAGAAGAGACGCCGTTATCAGGTTTAAAAAAAGAAGAAAAAAAAAAAACCTGCTCCCTGCTGTGTTTTTATTACGTAAAAACTCTGTTCAATATTTACCACCAAGACACAGTATTTACATATATCATAGGGAATTTATTATTCAGAGATGCATTGGTTTACAATAACGGCAAATCTATAGTATCTACTCTTACAGGCTCCGTCTGAGCAAGTTATGACAATGTTCATGGAAAAAGACCAACAAGTATAAAGAAGCTAAAATCTTCTTTTTGATCACATGATTATGGCACAAATGCAAATTTTTCGATCATGTTGGCAGTGAACATTTTAAATTTTTTTAAAGCATTATTTCTTTACTTCATCTTTATTTTTTTTTCAACACAATGAATAATAAAATAACATCAGGTAGTGTGTCCTCCCAGCATGACATACAGAGGCTACAAAGAGGAGAGAAATGTTTTGTTGTGAAGTGCTAACTATCTATGTTCCCTTTCCTTTGGCCTATCTCCTCATCAAGGTCATTTGCGTACAGATACATATATAAAAAAAAAAAATCAAAGACAAAATTCACAACTGTGTTTTTTGTGACATCCATGTTACTGTACAGAGAGATAAGAGATGATAAAATAATAGGCAGATAAATCGTGACCAAGAATTGGGGGGGAAAAAAACAAAAACAAAAACCATCCCATGAACATAGTGGTTTGGTTATTTAGGTAAAGTTGTTTGTAGAACACAAAGTCACACAGCCTGTGAGTGGACCAGGACCTCATCATCAGAGGGAAGGCACACGATCCAGGTGAAGGTTGTACCTCCCCGGGCTGCTGTGTTCTTCATCCTGGTTCGTCTCCGGGCTGTGACAGTGATCGTACGTGCTTTCAGGAGATTCATAGGGGTAGTTTTCAGAGATCTCTTCGTCCTCCTGCTCCTCTTTGATGCTACAGTGAAGCACATGCAAAAGAACTATTAGGAGTTCTGAAGATAGTATTTACTAGGGCGGTCACCCTGTTTATATTTTTAAATCTATAAAAATGTCAAGAGAATTATGCTAAAGATATTTCCTAGTAGAACTTTCCAAGATTTGCTTGACATAGTATTTCAAGTTTAAAAAGCTTCAGTGAAACGGAAACTTTTCCCCGCAGTGTGTGTAAATGACAACATGTGTATTAGAGCAAGTGGATGGACAGTGGAATTATTGCATATACAGTGTGTGTCATTCTGCCAATGTGTTAAAGTTTGGTCTGATTAGGGATGCATTGTGAATCGGTTGGAAATTTATACAGATCTTTGACAATTTTGCATCATCTGCCAATGTGTTAAAGTTTGGTCTGATTAGGGATGCATTGTGAATCGGTTGGAAATTTATACAGATCTTTGACAATTTTTCATCATTAACTTAAAAAGTCAGCGGTCATACCATGAGACTACAAACTCTAGTACAGTAGGTGGCAGTATGCACTTAAAAACATTGGTTGTGACCCGTATATTATACCAAGACGCCAGGTCCTCACGTGTTCCCTAATATTTACATTGAACCACATCAACAGAGTAGAACAGCAAAGACTTACAGTGCCTGTGGAGGAGACTGGGTGGCGCTGCTGTCACTGTGGTATCCAGATCCATTAGCCAGGGCCCCGTTCATCTGCTCTTGAAGAATGTGAGGCAGTGAGTGAAGCGGGATGCTGCCCATCGGGCCATGTTGATAGAGGGCGCTGTTGCCTTCCAGACCACCACACTGTTAAACAGGTCACACACTCTTCAGTTAATGGGATAGTCATGGAATCAGAGACTGAATACATTTAAATTTAATATATAGGCGTTTCATTACCTGAGCAGCAGATCCTGCTAAACTCTGACGATTCTGAGAAGTCTTCATTATTGATCTGTTAAATACACAATAATCAGCACGTTATATTACATTCACTATGAGAATGCGTTTAGATAAAACCCTTCAATAAAATGAACCGATATGATGATGGGAACTTTATTGATTACAAACTGGGAAAACTGTTGTGTTTACAGCTGACAAAATATGTGGTTTCTCTCGAACCCAGGACCTTCTGTGTGTGAGGCAAGAGTGATAACCACTACAGTATGGAAACGCAAAATGACTGCACCCACCCGTTACCCCCAGTTTTCTGGGGCCTTCGTCTGTGAAACTCGATCTCATCCACCGTCCACACCGCTCCTTTAACGTTCTCCAAACGTACAAAACATTTGTGGAGACTGAGGTTATGTCGGACCGCGTTCTAAGGGAAGGAAGGAGAGAGAACCTTTAACAAATGCAAATTTTAATGTAACGACAAAAACTAAACAGTGAGGCTGACTACATACCTTCCACGTAGCTGCATTGCGCCTGAAGTATGCAAAGTTTCTTGTAAACCAGTTGTAGATTTCATTTAGCGTCAGCTGGTTTCGAGGTGATTCAAATATTGCCTGAAGGACATGAGTTCATAAGATCAACACTGCACTGTATTTTCTGTAGTGTTTTAATGTTCTTAACCTGATGAGTGGATACCTGTCTGATGAGAGAGGCGTATGTGAACGGAGGTCTGACTTCTGTGCTTAAGTAGAACTCTTTATTGTCAATGATATCTGTAAAATGGCAACAAGCAGCGGTTTTTCAGCACATGATGATATATAATGTTGACAAGAATGACTTTGGAGAAAGAATCAGTGACTATAAAATAAATTCAACTATTTTCTTAGCAGGAAAATAAAATTATCTTTGCGTCATGTGACCGTTACCTTGGCTCACAGAGCGACTGTACCGTCTCCGTACGGGGGTACCAGTGAACACACTATTGGGAGTGAGGACTGAGGAGGATTCAGAGACCGGTGTCAGGGGCGTGGACGGTGCTGTGGCACTCTGAGACAGACTCATGGGAGGGGCGGGGCCTTTGGGCAGCCTTGTCTGGGAGAAGGAGACATTAGACACAAGATTCACCTGGGGAGAAAACAGACAACAACGCGTCAACTCGGCAAAGTGTCTGTTTCACAGCATGCAAAACAGTATTTAATTTAATGGAGGCAAACAGCCATGGCAGGCACTTACAGGCTGCGTCGCAGCTTTGGGTTCAGAGGATTTAAGATGAGCCATCATGGCCTGCAGTCGCTCCTATGGCCTTCTTCAGCTGTGTGAGCTCGGACGACCACAATAGAAGTTGACGTTAAGCTAGTTCACTACTTGATGAAGTGATGTCCAGTGTGGGATTGAGTTCTTTTCTGGCATGTTGAGGTGTCATTAGTTGAAGACATCACTTCAGTTTTCAGGGTGAAAACACACCAGCATTTGACACTGATTGAGATTTCAAATTCACCTAATTTAAGATATGACTGATTGAGATTTCAAATTCACCTAATAATTTTAAGATATTTTGGACAATGGTGTAGAATTGTTGCTTTGTGACACAAGTGACAGTTTAAAAAAAAAATAGGTCAGTCCTTTGTTGCTTTGTGACACAAGTGACAGTTTTAAAAAAAATTAGGTTAGTCCTTTAAGTCATATATATATATATAAAGAAAAGGTTTAAGTGAAAGAAATGAAATTGGACTCTACCTGTAATTCCAGCTGCTTAACCCCCTGCAGCTGCCCACGACACTGTGCCGTACTCTTGTCGTCCAGCGTGTGTTCGCTGTTCAAATGTCTGCAGAGGAATGAAACACAAATCAGGAATAAAAAACCCCATTGAGCATTTGTAGTATTTTCCCAACGCAGACTAAAAACTGAATCCCCGGGTCACAGACCGCAGGCAGGGCAGCATATCCACCAACACCTGTGCCCTGCCTAGCGGTAACGACGGGCAGCAGGACCTGTTTGGTCAGGGTGTTGCCCTTGTTTTCCGGCCGACAACGTTCAGGGATAGGAATTAAAATCTTCACCACAAAAGAAATTTTTTTTTAAATTTATTATATAGAATATTATTTAATTCTCTAAGGCGAGGTGTGATGTTCAACCAAGTCTGATATTGAACCCACAACCCATTAGCAAAGTTCCACCTTCTAATCCACAGCTGCCCAGATAGTCTGATGATTGCCAATAATTTGTCACTAGTGTGTATGATGTTTTTATAGGTGAAAAATGTTATTAAAGAACACCTCGTTTCCGTCACTCACTTAAGAAATCCTTGAAAGTCTCCGAAGACGGTTTCACAGCCAGGCCATTTACACATGCCGTTTCCATACAGAGGATGGCTGTTCTGTGTGTTGTCATCTCCCGTCCCACTGCAACAAAAACAGTGTTAGTTTTACCATTTTCTTTTTTCTATTACCATTTTTTTTTTTGTGGCTACAAAAGGATTTATAAATGACCTGTGTCACCTTTCTTTCCTTTTCAGAAGAGCAGAGTGACCATTGGTAGAGGTCAGATGATTGGAAGACTCTCTGCCGTCTCCGGCCACAGACAAGGCGCTGCTTATGTCAGAAGCTGAAATGTAACGTTCACATGAATCGTCGTGTTGTGAGCCACAGCGGTGTAACGAGTACAAAATGAAGAGCACGAGTACCTGCAGCTGTGGAGGAACTGTTGGGGAGGACCGACAGAAGGCCTTGTCTCTGAAGGTTGAGGAGATGTTGCTGCTGCATCTGAAGGAGCTGCTGCTGGATTGCAATCTGTTGGGCCGTCAGCTGTGAAGGACACAACACTGGTCGTAAAGGTAGGATACTTGACCTTTCATTCTACCTCTAAAGAAAGTGTGGACAGATGGACTTTTTTAGGTTTGTCTTTACTTTGTCTACACCAGTGGTCCCCAAACATGGAGGCTATCGCAGGCAGGGCACCAAGGAAAATTAATTTTAGTTGTGCACTGATTGGTGGTTTAATTACAGTCGAGACTTGAAGTAATGTCTGAGAATGTGTTGACTGGATAAGGCTTTGACTAAAGTCACATCTACCATAAGGTGGTGCTGTAGAGATGAGGAGAAAAATAATTCTTCATTGTGGAACAGGAACTAAGCAGTGACAGTTGTGACCTTGAACATTTATCGGTCTGCAACATGTGTTACATTCGCTCTTTATGCCAAAAATGATTCGCACGCAGAAGTTAGTTTTTAGCCCGTACGTAATTTGGCTTGACTTCACCTCCGTGATGAGCTGTAAGGAAATGGACGTTACCTCTTGGCTCACGATCCCAGCGTTCTTCTGCTGCAGCAACTGCATGTTGAGCTGCTCTTGCTGAGTCTTGAAGACCTCTTGAATTTGCTGCTGCAGAGATGATGGTGACATATGAGATTAGAAAAAAAACAAACCCATGAACGGAGGAAAAACAAATAGAGCCTGTACAAACATGCGTTACCTGGTGTAACATGAGTGCTTTCTGCTGCTGGAGCAGAGCTTGGAGCTGCTGAGGGCTGAGAATGGGCTGCTGTGGTGTCTGCTGAAGTTGCTGTGGTGCCTCTGCTGGTGGGGTCATCACAGGCAGGGACAATGGAACCTACAGTTTTAATGAAATAAAACAATAATAACAAGGAGAGATGAGTTACAATCAACACCACAGACTTGGAATAAGTGCTCCATTTGAAGGAATAAAGGATAAATTGACAGTCTGAATAACAAAACACTGAAATATGAAATATGTAGGTTGTTGTGTGTCTGTGTGTATTGTGTACAAAACACACCCAATCTTTTCAATGGGAACAAAACCCCAGTAGATTTACACATAAACAAAAGGCCATCTCTCTATAATCCAGAGGATTATTTCATGTCAGAAATAATCACCTTAAATATATGGAAAAGGGACAGTTCTAAGAATTCAAATTATCTATTAACAGATTGTGTCAATTTTGTACATTATATTTAGCAAAACAATTGAACAAAATTAAAGATATGTGCTGGTCTCAATTAATTGTTTTTCTTTTCAAATCAATAGGGATAACTAATGATTTATAGAGTGGCTTTAACATGTTCTAACCACCACCAAAATAGCTGCTGTGTAGAACTGAAATTAAACCCTTTGTGGAAAAATAAAAATACAAAAAAAAAACCTAGGCTTAAAATGACCTACAACCACCACAGCCACAAAACCCTCTGACGTTTTATTTTCGAGATCCACTTTGCCAGATTAATTTGACATTAGTTTATATTTATATATTTTATTGGCAAAAATAGAAGTTAAAAGGAAAGAGTTAACTGTGGAGTCTGTGGTGTTGGATTACCAAACGTTTACATTTGCAAGATTTAAACAAATCTAACCCCTTCACAAAAATGTCCAGCCTGGGGGGGGGACGAAGGTGGCAGTTGAATGAGTTCTATTTGCCCTTGACTTGCCCCCCTGTAAAAAGTGCTTCAAGGACATGGGGTTATTTAATTTTGTCTAACAGTTGCTATTTTGTTTGCCAACGTTTCACAATAAGATGAATTATTTTTTAGCTTAAAATCAGAAACCTAACTGTCAGCCTGGATTTGCAATGTTTTACCTGGTTTGTTTTTTGTTTTTTTTCTTCAAAAAATATAGTTGAAAACCAGTGTATTTAACAAACCCATCACAAAATGTAATATTATGCATTGTTCCTTCCATGATTTGAAGAGATGCTGATTAGTTCTGTTTTTTTTTTTTGGCCGCCGCCTAAATTCATTAGAATTCTGCTTGTGTGCCTCTTCCTCAAACCTATAAAATAATTCATGGTCACTCAGTGAGAATACTGCCTTATTATTCATTGGTTCTTCTTTGGAGGTCATGCCTGCAGACTGAGCCTGCCTTCCATTTCTTCTGTGCTAAAAATTAAACAAACAACAACAACAACAACAACAACACCACCACCACCGGAGGCCCCCGGGGGAGGAATGTGAGCTTCATCAAAACAACAACGACGAGGACGAAAACAACCAGCCCCACGAAAACAACAACATCCTCGGCTAGGAATGCTGTAATTGCCACACCCTCCCCCCACTCATTGTCAAGGCTCACAGCTCAAGGGATGTTTACTGTAAACATAAACAGTAATCAAAAATTGCACAGGGATATAAATAATAAATAAAAAAAAGCATGCAGGGTCTGTTTACGAAAACAGAACTGGAGATTCGTATTTTAATTAAGGTCTGATCCACAAACAAACATCTCTCTCTGAGGCAGTGTCTGTTTTGAAATGGGTAAACAAACTGACAGTGATTTTCACACTGAGCCCTGGGTTCACAAAAACACAGCAGACCTCTTCCTCCGTCGTCCTTCCCTACGAAACTCAACACTCGCAGAGGTGACCACCAGAGTATTGAAAATAGGTCTCGTCCAGATAAGCCAGTTGGCCTCACTGTTTTTTTCCCCTTTTTCTGTGGACACCATCAACACAACAACAGCCTTTGACTAATCCCTGTTGCCATGGCAGCCAGCAAGTCCAAACATCTTGTGTTGTTGTTATTGTTGAAAGTCATACCAGTGAGCAACTGAGTGTAAACACACTTCTGTTCCCGCAAGACTGGTCTTGTGAACTTTGAGATGACTGACAGCAAATAGAAACCCTGCAAACTAGCTGGAAAACAAACACAATATGTTTTCCTTTACGAGATTTAATACTGACTAATGTGGACTCAGGGGTGTGAGTGCTGAAGAGTGACGTCTCCACGACCGTTCATCGTATTTTCTCTCTTTTTTTTTTTTAGTAAACGGAACTTGCATTTTAAAGAACATATCAACCTACTCCTTTAAACCTTCATATTTACAGCTATGCAATTCTTTATCTTTAAAATGTCACAAAATAGTTAATTGTGATCGACATGGACTACCCTCACAATGAACATTTACTCTGTAACTGACTGGCAGCTAAGAAGATAAGTTACTACTCAGTCAAAGATTTGACTTATATTTTAACACAAACAAAACAAGATTTAAAAAAAAAAAACACAGAATATAAAATGGCTCTCTGTGCTCAGCAGGCGATTGTTCTCCAGCTTCTCCTTTCAAAAAATTCAATACAAAACTCTCTGTGTGGTCACTTCAGCATAAATATTAAACACAGCAGTACAGAGAAAATGAAACAGACACCGTCAGAGGTTCTGGGATCTTTTTACATGTAAAAATAAATCAATTAAAAGAAAATGAAACACCAAGGACATCTATAAAAAAAAGTTTAAAGTTTATACAGTGTTCCCTGAATGTGTCATTCCCAACTAATCTGTAACTTGGATCATAATTTACAAGATTAACACGATAAACAGGTTGGTTTCTTATGACTCATCGTTTAATTCCGTTTTCTCTGAGTGACTTCTTAAACCAGAGGAAGACAGAAGTGAACCCTAAAATATTCACTCTCCCTTTTTTAATCATCCTACAAACTCAGCATTGAATCCTTAACATATGCTGCACTTTGTTATAATAAACATAAGATTAAAGCTGATAAGGAAACGACTGGAGTGAAATCACTGGGTTTCAGGTTAGCCATTAGTTGACAAACCAATGTTTTTTGTTTGATGTTTGTTGAAACTTTGATAAAGAAGGTGAGAGGAAGGACATTCAACCACTGGATGTTGTTCACACACACACACACTGTACCTTCAGTGGTAGCAGTGACGTTATGCAACATGCAGTGTGTATGTTCATTATCGCCACAATCGAGTTATTGTTTTATGGCGCTGACTATGCTAACACCCAACACCCTCTTGATTTTGCCTAGAACAGCTGCAGCTGG